GCAACATGTGTTTATCCCATTTTCATACTGAGGAAAGTCTGACAAACCATGAGAAATATTGTAGAAATAATAAATGTGCTAAAGCAATATTACCGAACATATCTAATTGTATTCCTAAATTTGAAAAATACCAACAATCTTATAAAGCTCCTTTTGTTATTTATGATGATTTCGAAAGTATGCTATTCAAAATTGATACATGTCAACCTTCTGATACAGCTTCCCATACAAAAACATACCAAAACCATTTACCTGTTAGTTTTTGTTATAATGTTAAATATAGTAATACTAGTAAAAGTAATCTAGTAACATATTCAGGTGAAGATGCAGCAAAAGTTTTTTATGAGAAAATAAAAGAGGAAACTCTTTATATTGCAAAAAATTATTTAGATGTAAAAAAACCTATGATAACCAAAGAACAAGAAACAGAATTTGAAAAAGAAAATGACTGTCATATATGCAAAAAATCTTTAAGTGATTTACCACCAATACTAGTAAAAAAAAAAAAATAGAATACTTGATGAAACTATTAATTATTGTCAATCTGAAAATTTAGATTTAGAAAATATAGAAAATATAGAAAAAGAAACCTAATATTTTAAAAAGCGGCTTGATGAATTAATGAAAGAAAAACAGTTGTTCTTTGAAGAACTGGAAGATAATATAAAAAAAGGTTAAAGATCACGATAACTTAACAGGAAAATATCGAGGAGCTGCTCCTTCTATATGTAAATTAAATTTTAAGGTTCCTAGATTTATTCTAGTATTTTTCCACAATCTATCTGGTTCTGACACACATTTATTCATAAAAGAATTAGGTATTGATAAAGATAATATAAAGACAATTGCAATTAGTGAAGACAATTATGTATCATTTTCAAAAAATATACAATATATACATATAGATCCAATTACTAAAAACCCTGTTTTAGATCAGAAAGGAAAACCTATTTTTAAAACAGTTGAAATAAGATTTCTTGATTCTTCCAAGTTCTTATCTAGTTCTTTAAAAAAATTAGCTTATACTTTAAAACCATACCAGTTTAAAGAACTTTCTAAACATTATCCTGATCAATTAGATTTAGTAAAAGGAAAATTAGTATATCCTTATGAATATATGGATTCTCCAGAAAAATATGATGAAGAATCTCTACCTAATATAGATAAATTGTACAGCTCTCTTACAGGCGAACATGAGAAAGATTCTTAATAAAAAATATGAGAGATTTTACCACACTTTATAATAAAATAGATGTCTTATTACTTACAGATGTAATGGAAAATTTTAGAGATGTTTCAATAAGACATTTTAAGTTGGATCATGTTCATTATTACAC